AAAAGGTGTGAAAATGGCCCAAAATCGATGAAAACCATGGGCTATAGTCCATGCTTTTTGCCCAAAAATGACTAAAAATGACCTATTTGGCATTTACCATAAATTATGCATATTTATTTAAAAGGTGTGAAAATGGCCCAAAATCGATGATAACCATGGGCTATAGTGGATGCTTTTTGCCCAAAATGGCTAAAAATGACCTATTTTGCATCTTCCAGAAATTATGCATATGTTTTGAAAAGGTGTGAAAATGACCCAAAATCCATCAAAACTATAGGCTAAAGTCCATGCTTTTTGCCGAAAAATGGCCAGAAATGACCTAATCTGCATCCTTCATGAATAATGGATATTTTTTGAAAAGGTCTGGAAATGGCCCAAAGTCGATGAAAAACATGGGCTATATACCGTACTTTTTGCCCAAAAGTGGCTAAAGACATTTTAACACGTTTTGAAAAAATATGCGTAGTTTTTGAGTGAGAGACGCTAGTATGAACAAGGTTTTATTTCAACAACTTTCTTTCTAGTCCGCATGCTCAGCTCCTAAGAGGCGAAAGTAATAGGATGTTTGCATGATGGCGTCATTGATCTCCGCTACCAGACTTCCTTGTACACTTTCTTCTAATTAGCACCAATTGTCTTAGTATTCTCATAAGTGGGAAGTGGGGGTAAAATTACGCCATCATGCAAACGTCCTATTGTTTAAACAGGTTTAAAAAATATGCGAAAATTGCGATTTGAAAACTAAACGCCCTACAAACGAAAGCACTTAAAACAAGCTGTGGAGACACAAAACCATTGACATGACAACAGAGACAATGGTTGTCAAGGTGTTTGTCACGTGATAAGCACTATTATCTGGGCCTTTTAAAGAAGGCTTGAAGCTTGACTTCACGACTCGTGAATTGATTGGTTGAACGGCACGGAATGTGTTTACCAGAGACGTGGTGTTGTCAGATTCCATTAGACTTCGGAGCATAGTCAACTACAGTCAAAGAAATATTGAGAAGATTACTGGGTGGGACCTTTCCGTTTACGAAGTTAACTAATTACAATGTGCATTCACACGAGCTAAGAAAAGGAACGTTTTTATTGAAGAGGGGGGAAGGGGGCTGGAGATTTTCAGTCAACTTTTTAAAAAATAGTTGTAGCCCTCCCCTTTCACACAGTAAAGGCCGGTTTAGACGGTACAATTTTCGCCTACAACTATCGTATACAACACGCTCGCGCCATCCTACAACTCGAGTCGTAGCGTGTAAATCAAGCCTACAACTCGCCTACAACAGACGCGAGCGTGTTGTATACGATAGTTGTAGGCGAAAATTGTACCGTCTAAATCGGCCTTAAGAAATTCATGACCTTCCTATCCGGCTGATCTGAAATAGTGACGTAGAAATGACGTCACTGCAAAACTGAGGTGTCACAAAGCCTGTATTGCAATAAAGATACTGTTATCAACCTCTTATTAACTTTTTTACTTCGTTTGTTGGCCTGGAAATCCATCATTTCAAGGTAAAATGTGACACCTCAGTTTTGAAAATTTTCTTGATTCTGATTGGCTAACATTTTCTCTCAGATTAGCTGGCATTAAGTCAACAAGGAAACAGCTTTCATCAATATAAAAAGGTTTGAAACTCAAAAAATAATAATTAAAAGTTTACTAATGACCCTCCCCTAAGATCTAGAAGCCCCAGCCTCATCGCTACACAATCCCTGATTCCRTCCCCTGCCTCCCCAGTTTGCTCGTCAGGTCGTTTCACTTGTTTCATCGGTTATTACCTGATTGGCACTGATGTTAGCGGGGTTCCTAAACACAGTCCAGGTGACAACTTCCGCGCAAGCAGGTGTGGTGAGGCTACCGCTGTACCGGTAGAAATCCGTGATGTTTGGTGGTAAGAGAGAAGCCAGTGTGTGAGTCAAGGTGATGTTCTCAATATCTGGTCTCGATGCTGTTCAAATAAATAGAAAAACGTCTTGATGAGCTGCGYATGCGTAATCAAAATGTCTCCTCTTAGGGCGAGGGAACGGGAGGGTTACTTAATAACCTTAACTACTCATCCCTTCCTCGCTATGGAAAAAACACTTGCAAGTTTTGCACCTCCGTTAAGTATTCTCCTTTTCTGACCCGTCAAAGATTTGGATACAAATACTTAAGATACAGGGAGCCCATCACATTAGATATCATAGTTTTGTGAGTTTTTCGCTGAAGATGTGCTTGATTTTCCTGTTAAACATGTAGAACAGAATCTTTTGCTCAAAATATAAAAACCCAATCAAAGGCAGTTTTTTTCATTCTTTTTTCTCTAAAGTGGGTTCCCTTTGGTAATTGCTGGTCATGCGCAATGTGACTTACGTATGGACACGTTTGCCGTGTATTTCAAAAGGCTTGTCAAAGCTGGATTTTCATCCCCGACCTAAAAAGTAAAAGTTGAACATTAATTCCTAGTAATAATAAAATAATAATCATAATAATAGAACTAAATATGGGATAAACCGGCAGCACCCAAACTCTAAAAACGTGTTTAATATTTACCTGAAGCRACGTCCCCAAAACTGCAATTCCATCTGCGTGTTTCAAAGCCTCTGAAACATTTGCGTACTTGGTGTTGATGTTAACAAAGTGAGCCTAAAAATAATTGAAAACCCATTTAGACCTTGTGGAATTCGAATCAAAGTGAACAATCAGTAGTTTAATTTGAAGTTTAAATGAAAACGAGTGGTTACTAGTTTGGACGGCGGACACGATTGAAACACGTTTGCGTAGTCCGTATGCAACAAATTAGTCAAAACGTTTTCATGCTGTTGTAAACTTGCCTGTAAATTTGACTTTCAAACATGCCTGATAAATTGGACTTTACAAAATGCCAAAATTTACGTTTCAATGCTTGTTTGTTAATACAACATCTTGGTCTGACAAAAGTACACTCGCGAATTTTTTTGTGTACTTGGAGAAAACAGACATTTATTTTCTCACTCAAACTCTTCAAAATTCTTAGAAAGCGTGCTGAAATGCACGCATGCGCAAACGTTGTTCTCTAGTATCGGGACAATCTCGTACCCAGAGGCTGCGTTTCTTCTGGCCTGCGGCGAAGAACGAGAGCTCTGGCATGATCCATATCTTGGCGCATGCGCAATTTTTGGAAAGTGAGATACGAAACAATCAAAATAAGCAATAATTAAATGGAAGTCAAAATCAAAGTAAAAATCATAGTAAAAATAGGGGGAAATAATTTTAATTTTTGGCAAGTCTTTGAACGCGTGCGCTGTTATACCGGAAGTCCAAGAAATCCTGGTCTCAAAAGATGGATTATGCCAGAGCCCTCGTTCTTCACCGCAGGCCAGAAAAAAAGCAGGCTGTGGGTACGAGATTGGTATCGGGACTGCGTGTGTGTGTTTAATACAATAACAGTGAAAAATGAAACTTTTAGAAACATCAAGTAAAAAGTTTGGAGACGTCTTAGATATGATAAAGGAAAATGGTTGGATATAGTAATTATCACGTCACTCAGATTATACATACCTCAGCCGGATACTTCTTTCCATCTACGGTATGTTCAGATCCCTTGTTGTTGTCGCCACCCCAGTGAAAGTGAATATTGTGAGTAGAGAAGCTACCGATCAGTCCTCCTCYAGACACTGAGAACGTATTGGGTGTAAAGAAAATTCCATAGGAATTACCATTGTTCCTGGCGGAGAATCGAGCTCCGGCTGGTGTGCTATTAAAACCGCTCAAAGTAAAAGAACTAAGAGTAGAATCATAGTTGGTCTTTAAAGTATCGATGTCGATCGGTGATTGTTTGGAGCCATTGCAGTATTGCGGGTAAGTCTTATCCCAGCCAGAAGGACCTAAAGAAATACGGATCAAAGTAAGACAACACGGCAGTGGGCTAATAGGAGGAGAGACGCCGATTCCAATTACGCGCGCGTGGTATTCAAGTCCCGATAAGAGTATTGAGGATACTCCAGCCTTTTTCCCAGGCGACTCTCTTCGCTTTTTGGCATGACGTCACGCAAGTGCTTCTCAGATCGCGAGTAGCCTGGCCAAATCCTCGGTAAATCTATTCCTAGGGTGCAACCACATGACTCAAATTCCCTTGAGATATATATATAACAATAAAACAGCCGCCATGCTGGTTGATCTAAGAGAATTAGCTGACAAGGAATGCTTTGTTATCGTCAACCAACATGGTGGCTATGACGTAACATGCACTTGATGAATGGTCAATACGTCCACGAGCCAGGTAATTTTTCAGCAGCATTAATGAAAAACACTCGACTTAATACAGATTCATAAACAAATAAACGCGATTCGGCTATTTTGGAAAGATAACTCCGAGCCTTTTCCAAGGCTGCGCATGTCAGCTATCAAGCGTCCGCCATTTTGGATTTGTGACAGCTGACAATGAGTAATTATCCTAGGAAGCTTAAAGTATAGGAAGGGCGGATTTATATTTATAGGGACTATAGTAAGATACTTACCGTATGTAACGTCAGATGAATGATAATTGTACACTGAAAATAAAACAAGTGCAAAGCATTAAAACCACTGAAACTAAAACTAACTCAGGTCGAATGGGTTTGGCCGACAAAATCCTGTTAAGTGGTGACGTATTTCCGGGTCCAATCACACGAAATATCGCTAAAATCTCGCCACAACTTATTCCCAGGATTTATTTTCTACCTTCAACAATTAGATATATATGAATAGAAAATTCTGCTATGAAGAAAGAAAAAAACAAAACAGAAAAATGTCTGTAGAAGTAATTATTAATTTGGACCCGAGAGTCGTTTTTCGTTCGAATTACGTCACACTTAACAGCTCTATAGAGTGTRTGCAACCATGTGACTCAAAATTCCTTGAGGTATGAATAACTATGAAACAGCCGCCATGTTGGTTGATCTAACAAGAGAAGCTAATGAGGAATGCTTTGTTATCGTCAACAAAGATGGCGGCAATGATGTAACATGCAAGTGCTCTGTAAGAGCGTTTCTGTATCTGAGACCCCGTCCACACGTATCCGGAAATTTTTGTATCCGCAATAATTTTCTTACGGATACGGGTTGCGTCACACGTGTCCGCAAATTTTTGTGTCCGTATCCTCAAATTTTACGAAAACGGATACGTGTGGACGGTGAAAACGATTCGAATACGCTGCGTGTGGACGCAAACATTTTCGTATCCGCAAAAAAAAATTCGCGGATACAAAAATTTCCGGATACGTGTGGACGGGGCCTAAGTAGTATTCTATAGAATAAAACATTTATTTAGGTTAAATTAAGTATAATCTGGATCTCCTTCGAGGCACATTTTTCAACCCCTTAAAATCCATAGCAAGAGGTAGTGTAGAGAGAGACTTACCGACTCCAGCACCCATTGCTGAATGAAATGCTGTCAAAGTCAGGAGAAAACCGAGCAGGAGTTGATTAACCATTATTCGATTTGTTCTTGTCATGAACTGCATGGAAAAAAAATGGAAAGCTTACTTCTAGGGTTAGTGCTTGCCTAAACAAACTCTACGACTCACATGTTYGTGATGCCGAGTCCAGGAATCGAATCACCAGAGGTGAGAAGCCATGAATTATCACCACGCTTAAGTTGACAGAACATTCAGCAGCACATTCGGATTTCGCGCCTGATATCCCAATCAAGGCCAAATCTCAAACTAAAATGCCTTATTTTTATGGAGAATTGTCATAGGGATCTGAAAGTGTTTTCGATTTTGATGAACACTCCCCCGTTTTTCCCCCGCATACTAGACGACCGAGGCACTTATAATTAAAAAAATTCGCGGATACAAAAATTTCCGGATACGTGTGGACGGGGCCTAAGTAGTCACCAGACTGCTACATAAAAAAGGCTGCATAAAAAGACTGAAAAGCTCTATAAAAATAGCTCCATATCTTTACAGCACCGTTTTACAAAATGCGTGACGACCGACACTAAAAACGGATGCGAGGGAGACTAGTGAACTACTTGGTTTAGCTGAATATTGGCGGTAATGGCACCCCATAGAAACAAGGCGATGAGAACTCTACAAATAACTTTTCATCTGGATCACTATATATATGCCGAAACCGAAATCCAGATGAAAATTGATATTCATATATTATAACCGGGGCAATTACTGGAAAATTGGATCTTCGAAAACTCTTCAAATTATAACCCTTCCATTTTCTAAACTTTCTCCGTTTATTCGATGGTTGGGAGTTAATAACTTTGGCAAATCGCCACCGTCTCTCTCTTGGAAGGCATGGCGCACGAAGTAAGGACTCCACTTCCCTATGACAATTCTCCATAAAAATAAGGCATTTTAGTTTGAGATTTGGCATTTTAGTTTGGGATATCAGGCGCGAAATCCGAATGTGCTGCTGAATGTTCTGCTAACTTCAGCGTGGTTGAATTATCCACCTTTTACCTTTGATCTGCAGATCTTGACCATGTAGTTTATTAAAGAATAAAACCGTTTTCCAGATTTAATCAACTAAATTAGCTGGACGCCAGTAAAGCACAAAAGATTTTTAAAAAAATTTAAATTCAAACTGAAAAACACCTACCTTGGCTGCGCTGAACACGTACTCTCTTTGGTTCGGTTAAATGTTGCCTAGAAACTGTGACTTGTATATACTCCATACCGCGTTTCGATTATACATCCTTGTATAATAGAACACAATACCGCTTTAATGAATAAATCTTTCTACATATTTTGTGTAGGGAATAAACGTGCGAGGCAGACACGTTGTTTTGTGTTGCTAAGTCAGGCTTTCACGATAACGACGAGAAATTGTCGTCAAAAGTTAGAAAGTATGTAAGACAGTGAACGGAGACAGCGGAACAACATTGTTAAAAACTTGGTAATGATCTTTTTAGACGTATGAAAAAGAAAATTAAACTGAAGATCCCATGATAAAAGCGGTCGCAATCTTAGTCGCAGGTCAAACGTCCAACTTCACATGAGCCGAACTTAATTACATGAAAGAGTACTGCCTTGTTATCCATTGTTTCAATTTGGTTCGGGATCAGTGAAGTTCGACCTGAGCCTTAGAAAAGTTTATGAGAACAAAAGTATCCTCAATTAAAATCCCCATAATTACCCATTGACATGCAAATATTGTAGTTCAATGAATGTTCGAATCTAAAAAAAAATCTACAAAGCTTTTCGCTGTCGTATCACAGCGAAATAATGAAATCAAGAATCAATAATGAAATCAAGAATCCAAAAACAAGGTCATTAATGACCTTTACGTGTTCAAGCTTGAGGTGGTTTGACTGTAAGGTCCCGTTACACTGTGCAATACTCTCAGTTTGAGTTCCCCTTTTGTTCAGTCTTAGTCTCAGGTCAAATGTCGAACTTCAGATGAGCCGAACCTTATCACACCAAAGAAGACCGCCTTGTTATCCATTGTTTCAATCGAGTTCGACTCATTATAATAATAATAAGGTCCATTGTTGGTCCATGGTTGTCGAAACGTCAGTCACATCAAACAGTCCTTCTCAGGACTACACCCACCCGGATGATCATAATACTTCGATTAACAAGGTCCATTGTATAGAAAGGAATGTATGCATTACGGAACAATACGAGTTGATTAAAATTGGTTTTGGTTGAATAGCTGAATATTATTTGCTGAGCCACAGAGAACTCGAAACTGAAGTATTTTCTCAGCAACTTGTCTCGCAATGCTTGAAAATGTAGCGTTGCAAGTTGCCGAGGTGAGGTGTTACACAGCAACGCGATCTCAGCAACTTGCAACATTTTTTGGCTGCTCGGAAAGAAATGAGAAATGTGCGCTTGCACAAAAAGAGCCTTAAAATTGCGAAGAAAAAAAACGTTGTAGAAGGAGGTGATACACTAAGCAATGTCGTTGCCAGTCTCTGCAATTCGTTGCGAAAAGTAGAACTGAGTTCTATTTCGTGCAACGCTACGCAAAAACAAAACAAAACAAAAACAAAAAAGCGACAACTTCTGTTACACTGTGCAATTCTTCAGCAATTTCAGCAAGTGGAAATTGCACAGTGTATAGAAACTTTAGTACCACCTTCAAACTTGGTTAGCATTTCTTGGACCAAAATTAAAGGACCTTTGAGTGTCAAATAATAGAACGAAGCAGGATCTTAGCTGTGGTGTATTTGTGTTTTATTATGTACGATCGTCATATATAATTACATGTCAATCAATGCAAATCTAACA